GATTTGGTGCTCAAGAGACATTTCTTATTATTATCAATGTTAAAAACAGTTGTGCTGCCTAATACTTTTGTGGAAATTGTGATTTTTTCCCCCAGGATTTTTTAAGTAATAGAATGTTCAAAATAACAGTATTTGAAATAGAAATCTATTGTAACAAAAAAAAAGGTTTTCATAGTCAATATGTTGTTGCTGACATGAAAGGCTGAGTGTTCAATCAATTGATTTTTGGTGCAAATGCATCTGTCAATACCAGATGCCAACATGGACATGTTGTGTGACTTGCCCTCATCCTTAAAAATCATGAACAAAACGTAAACGAAAAAAACCAACACAGATTACATCAAATTCAGGTACTCTTGCAGCAAATATGTTTTGCGCTTACCACAGTGTGTATTGTGCAGCAAATTATTAGCTGACAAGAATAATTAAAATTGACCAAATTCAGTTTTGTAAAACAGAAAATATTGGGTTGCCACATGTACAATGTAAAATCTGGTTCCTGAAGCAAAACCTATTTACAATTACAAAAAAAAAAATAAAAAAAAAATAACTCAATATCTATGAAGAATTTTGCAAACATAAATTATATCTTACCAGGAATGTGGACCTGGCATTTATTCTTCAAGAATGTCCCACGTAGGTAGCCGTACATAGAGACGGTTCGGTCACATTTGGGATTTAACCTAATAGCCTCAGGATCAGTAAGATCTTCCATACTGTCCAGGAAAAAAACAATCAAATAACTGCCAGTTATAAAAGGCAACATAAACTTAGAAAGATCATAAATAATAGAAAGACTTAAGTACACTCACCGGTCAGCCACCACATAAGGGTGAGAAGTCCTCCAAACAAGAGGTCTGAACTTCATGACTGAGATGAACCGTCCAAGATTTTTAACTTCCTGTGTCTGGTACTCTCCGTACACCATTCCAGACAGGTAAAAGAGCTTGGCACCCTGCAAGACTTTTTTGTTCAGACACTAGACAGTCCAGTTTAAAGATATGTCAGTTATATATCAGGCTGTTTACATACCTGGTAAACTTCAGTCCAGAAGCGGTGTTTGAGGCGTTTCTTTGTTTTGCTGAGTGTCTTGTTGTTCTTAAAAGTGTCCAGATGTGTGAGGACCCCCATGACCCGAGGGAAGCCATGAACTTGGCAAATGTTCAGGAACTCAAAGGTCTCCATTTCAAAGCCAAAACTTGCATCTATCAGCATCAGAACCTAATAAAGTCAAAATATCAATACTGCCTTACTGGAAAACATAACATTAACACATATAAGTAATAACACAGTCTAATAAAACTTTTTAATTTTAGTTTGTAGTTACCAGATTAGTACTGCCTCTACATGTACACTAGTGTTCAAAGGTTTGGGGTCAGTATGCTTTTTTTTTTTTTTTAAGAAATTAGATCAGCAAGGATGCATTCATTTGGTCAGAAGTTACAGTAAATACTTTTATAATGTTACAAAACATGCTGTTGAGCTTTCTATTCACCAAAAGAATCTTGAAAAAATGTACCACTGTTCCCACAAAATTATTAAACCGCACAACTGTTTCAACATTGATAATAATAGTAAATGTTACTAGAGAACCAATCAGCATATTTGAATGATTTCTGAAGAATCATGTGACACTGAA